TGCTTATGTACAAGCCAAAGTGAACTGTTCTCACTTGAGAGAAGAGATGGATATCAGCAACTGTGTGTGTTAGATTAATTACAGAACGGACCACAGCAGCCCATGTCCCAAGAGTCACATGCTGCTTTATCACAGAAGAGGCATACACCAAATGCATGAACAACCAACTTTGATAATACTTACCTAGAAATATTAAGATTTTACCCTCAGACACCTGCTTCTACTGCATAATAATAAATAAAATCTAGCTACCATTTATTGAACAAATACTCTATGTCAGGCACAGTCTAAGCCCTCAACACATATTACCCGGTTGAAACTTCACAGTAAGCCCATGATGTAGGTGCCATTATTCATCTCCACATTACAAATGAAACTTGCATCCCTTCAAGTGCCAACTCTGGAGAAACAAGACATGAGGGAGACTGCATAGGACAGCCTTGGACCTGGGCAAACAGGAGGGCCTGCCTCAAACACTGTCCAACCCAGGTCACCAAGGCAGAACATTATATAGGGATCAGGGGCTAAATCTCTAGTTGCTGATAAAAAGTGATCTTGTGGGGCCTTATCCTCAGCATGTACATCTCCTCTGGCAACATGTGGCAGTGGTGGGCATTTGGCAGTGATATTGAGATTTGGGATCCTGGCCAGCTCTGTTTCTTTCCATCAAAAATATGACCAACATCTGGCAGAGTCAGAAAATACCAAGATGAATGAGTTTCCACTAATTCACATTTACAAACAGGATTGTCAAAATTGGTCAAATTCCATTACAGAATTACAGTTCAGCTACAGTGAATACTAAATATATATGAGCCATTAGGTGGAACTTTGAAATCTCTTTGCTCTATGGAAATTTCTATTCTGGTAGTAGTTGTTGTATGAGATTTGATCTTTATCGCACTATTCCTGACAACAGTAAAATTCCATTTCCATCAACTCTGTTTCCTCTCAGAAAAGAAGTCTCTCAGGAAATACTCAAAACATTGTTCTCAAGAAAGTTCTCAAATATGAATCATTTTCAACTGCCAGGAAGACACTCTTTCTCCCACTGTTTTGCATCATAATAGACTTTCCCTAAAATGACAGTTTTGGGGCAAGACATACTTATTTGAAAAAAAGAAAAAGAGTAAATTCTTCATTCTTCCCCCTCCATGGCTTTGCTCAAGCAGGTCTGCTATCTTCTTCCCTAGATTTGCATGTCCAAGAGCTGCCAAATTATTCATTCAACAAAGATTTCCTGAGCACCAACTAGTTTTTCAGCCCTGTAATACGCCATAGGGATTCAAGTAAGTGTATTAAGAATTAACCAGGCAGAGATTAGGAGATGATCACTGCAGGCTGTGGAACCATCATGTGACATGCTGAGAATTTCATTCAAGGAAAAGTTTCGAAGAAGACGAAACATTTAAAGCTGGCCCTTTAAGGATACATGGGAGGAGTTGAATAGAAGAAGAAAGGCATTTATGAACCTTAAGAGGAAGGCCTCCAACTACACAGAGCACAACTGAGCTGCTGCCTCAGAAATTCATCCTAACGTGCGTGCTGAAGCCAGGCTTCCACTGGGCTGCACCTGACTGAACACGGTAGGGACAGGACTCCAGCGACTGCTGACTTTGGACTGCCCAAAGGCTTTTCTGAACCTTCCTTGGACGGCAGAGCAGTCTAGAAAGCTTCTGCCTAAGCCAGTCTCTCTCCTCTTCACTAGGGGTCAGACTTGCATCATGGACTAATGGCGTCTCCCACCTTTCCCAACTCCCTCCCCGCAACGTCTCTCATACAGGTGGTTTCCCTTAATAAAATCCTTGCCAGTTTAATCCTAAATTTCTGCTTCTCAGAGGACTCAGATTAACACAGCATTCTAGACAGAGGACCCAGCATGAGCAAACACTCGCGGGCATGAAAAATCACAAGGTGCTCTGAGCATCCCAAGGAGTGGTATGTGCCTGGAGCTTGCTGTGGAGGTGTGGGTACAGAGGGAGAAGAAGCTGGGCTGAATGAGAGAAAGTCGAGTATATCCTGTTAAAAAACTTGGACTTAGTCCTCTGAGAAATAGGGGACTACCAAAAAGTTTTAAGCAAAGACTATTCTGTTGGGGAAATGGAGGATGAACTGGAGGAAGCAGAAAATGGAAGCATCTCTATATATGCTCCCATCTTGTGTGCTTGTATGGGTGGAATCATATTTTTTGTTTATTTGTTTCGTTTTAATCTCTACACCTCTATAATGCTTACAATAGTGTTTAACACAAAGTAGCTACTCAAGAGACCCCATCAAATCTACCAGGCTGGGCCTCACCTCATGCCCAACATTTTAACCAAAACCACCCAAAGGTTTAATGACCAGCCTTTAATATTCCTGCTTGGACACTGGAACTCTCTGTCTAGCCAATCTAGAAAGGAAAAGTTACATGTATGATGGGTAGAAGTTACTCCCAAAACTTTATCTCCCACCAACTAATAATTTCATGAAATCTCTTTGAAGCTGGGCATCTAATCACATTTGTTGACTCTAATTCAGGGGACAAATGTAGTCATTAGACATTGTTTCTGAATGTTTACCAGGTCAATGAAGTTCAGAGAGCCAGATCAGGCTCAAGGCCCAGAGGCCTTATGCAAAGAGCACTGGACAAAAGTCAGAATTGGGTTCTGGATACTGGCGCAATATCCGATGGTGATCTTTGAGAAAACATATCTGTAAGTTTTATTTGTTTCATCATAAAGTAGAAATAAGACCTACCCTAATTTACAAGTAAGGTGAAAATTAAATTAGAAGATGCGGTCAATGTGCTCTGAAAACAGTAAAAGGTTACTGTATTGTCACTTAAAAATTTAAGTGAGTAGATCTCTCAAGAGTTCTTACCACACACACACACAAACAAAAATAAGGGAAAGACGAGATTTTTGGAGGTGATGGCTATGTTGTATATTACCCTGATTGGGGTGATGATTTCAAGGGTGTTTGCCTGTGTTCAAACCCATCAAATTGTACACATTAAATTTGTGGCAGTATTCTGTATAACAATCACACATCAATAAAGCTGTTAAAAAGATCAGTGATTGCTGGTGGGAATGCAAACCGGCGCAGCCACTATGGAAAACAGTATGGAGATTCCTCAAAAAATTAAAAATAGAAATACCATAAGACCCAGCCATCCCACTACAGGGTATCTATCCGAAGAACTTGAAGTCAGCAATTCCAAAAGTCCCATGCACCCCAATGTTCATTGCAGCATTATTTATAATAGCCAAGACATGGAAGCAACCTAAGTGCCCATCAACTGATGATTGGATAAAGAAGATATGGTATATATATATATATAATGGAATACTACTCAACCGTGAAAAAAGAATAAAATCGTCCCATTTGCAACATCATGGATGGACCTTGAGGGAATTATGTTAAGTGAAATAAGCCAGATAGAGAAGGACAATCTCTGTATGACTCCACTCATATGAGGAATTTAAAAATGCAGACAAAGAGAACAGATTAGTGGCTACCAGGGGAAAAGTGGGGTGGGGGGTGGGCACAAAGGGTGAAGGGGTGCACCTACAACACGACTGACAAACAATAATGTACAACTGAAATTTCACAAGATTGTAAACTATCATTAACTCAATAAAAATTAACAAGAAAAAAAAGACCAATGATTACCAATTCTGATTTACAACAACACCAAGGGATGATGAAATATTATCAAATACAATTGATTTTCCTTTACTCTCTTCTGTCAAACAGCACTTTTAGTTGAAAGAGTACTGCCAGGAAATCGAATAATGAGAATCAATTCCCAGAAGGCTATGGATTGCTGGAGCTGGAGCCAACAGCCCTCCTGAGGTCCTGGGCACTGAAAGGTCATTTGCTGATGGCCTGATGCCCTTTCTCAGACTCAGGGTTTTTTCCACTGCTACCTCCCTGATGTGACTGACTGAAAACACAAAAGCTCTTGGGCCCTACTTGTGATAACCAAAATAACTTTACTGAGAAAAGGAATCATTACCTCCAAATAGCCTGAAGTGGTTTGTGTCAGTCAGAGAAGAGAGTTTCAATGACTCATAAACTGTCAGATCTGCATGAGCTAAGGGACTAAAGCTAGCTATCAATGGTTGGTTGCCCATGTAAAATGAAAAAGGTATCTCCAGTCCTCCGAGCTGAGGCAACCACTTCCAGATCACACACACAGATACACACAGAAACACACATTTCCAGAGCCCAAAGCATTCAGCAGTACTTTTTAAATCTTCCAAATTTGCAAACTGATCTAGTAAATTTGTATCCTTTGATTTAGGAAGGAGGTGGGGAGAAAGTAGAGAAAACTAATTCCATTTTTATAAAAAGGAACTTGCTCTAGGCTATTTTGACCAAAGAGCTAAACAAACAACTACAGAAGTTATTCTAAGTCTCTTTTGGTATTTTCCAAACCTAAATTAATTATTTCCAGTTGTAAAGTACATTTAATGGTAGGAAATCAATAATGATGATAGTAATAGACAACACTCTATTGAGCACATTCTATGTGCGAGGCACTTTACATATATTATCTGTATCCTTGTAATAACCAGTGTTAATATTCTACATTCCAAATTTTTTTTTAAAGTCTCTGAGAAACAAATATACTACAAATCAAGCAAATGGCAGAGCTGAGACACAAAACAAGATATCTAAAAGCCCAGATTTTTAGATGGCAATGAAGAGTGATAGAATATTTCTCACTTTCCTAATTTCAATCACTCTCTCTCCCACTCTCCCTGTCCCTGTCCCTCGCCCCAGCATACACATACACTCATTTCCAGAAAGAGGCAATAAAATCTAGCGGGCTCATTATGGGTTTTACCAAACAAACCTGCACTTATGTTCTGACCATGCCATTTACTAGCTGCAAGACTTCAGTGGTACAAATTACTCATTGGACCTCAGTTTCTCATTAAGTAAGATCAAATAAATGTACACACTGCCTAGTACATAGACACTCGCTGTATTAGAAGAAAAGCACTCTGCCTGTATTGTATGATGAGCAAGGCTAGCACTTCCCTTAACAAGGATGGAAGTGGTTCCAGTGACCTATAAAAAACATATATGGTTAAGAAATTACCAACTACTTTGTGGTATCTAACCATAATTTTTATCCATAAATTATAAGAGAATAATATATAATGGTGACATGGGATTTAGCCTAGGAAAGCAAGGTTGGTTCAACATTCCTAACTCAAACCATCCCAGTCACAATATCAACAGCCTAAGCGAGAAAATCTACATGATTATTTATACAGAGGCAAAAATTGTGTGACATTCATTCAACAGCCACTCACGATTTTAAAAAATACCCAGTTAATTATGTTAAGTGAAATAAGCCAGACAGAGAAAGACGAACTCTGTATGACTCCACTCATAGGTGGAAGTTAACATATAGACAAGGAGAACTGATCGGTGGTTACCAGGGGAAAGGGGGGGTTGGGGGGAGGGCACAAAGGGTGAAGTGGTGTACCCACAACATGACTAACAATAATGTACAAGTGAAATTTCACAACGTTGTAAACTATCATAACCTTAATTAAAAAAAAAATACCCAGTTAACTAGAAATAGAAGGGAACCTCCTCAGCCTAATAAAGAGCACCCAAGAAAAAATCTAAAGCCAACTCATACTTAATGGTAAAAGATTGAATGATTTCCCCCTAAGATCAGGAACAAGGCAAGGAATCCACTCTTACCACGTCTATTTAACATTGTACTGGATGGAAGTCTTAGCTAATGTAGTTAAGGCACAGAAAAGAAATAAAGATAGATAAAATTGGAGAGGAGAAATAAAACTGTCTTTATAAGATCACTATTCAAAAATGAATTGAATTTTTATATATAGCAGTGAACAACTGGGGACTGAAATTTTTATGAGCGTCATTTGCAACAGCACCAATAAATATGCAATACTCAAGGATCAATCTAACAGTATTGTAAGATTTCAATGTTGAAAATTACAAAAAGAACTGAAGAGAGAAATCAAAGAAGATGAAAGGAACTGGAGAGATATAATGTGTGTGTGGATCAGAGGACTCAATATCATCAATATTGTAATTCTCTCCCAAATTAGAGAGTCAATTCAATCCCAATTCAGCATTCAAGTCAATGCTTAATAAAAATCCAAGCTTATTTCTTTTTTTTTTTTAGAAATTTACAAGATGATTCGAAAGTTTATATGGAAAAACAAATAATCTAGGATAACCAAAGCATTTTAAAAAGAAAAAGTTGGAGGACTCAAACCAATTTATTTCAAGACTTACTATAAAGCTATACTACTCACGACAGTGTGATATTGGTAAAAGGATAAACACATAGATCAATGGAACAGAGCAGACAGTCCAGAAACTGACCCACACGTACATACGGTTAATTGATTTTTGAAAAAGATGCCAAGTTAATTCAATTGATAAAGGATAGTCTTTTAGTCTTTCAACAAACGATGCTGGAACAATGGGACATACCTATATTCAAAAAAACGAACCTCAATTCAAACCTCAGTGTATACATACAACTTGAAATTGATTGTTGACTGAAATGTAAATGCTAAGGCTTTAAAACTTATAGAAAAGAAATAAATCTTCAAGATCTTAGGTCTGGTAATTATTTCTCATATAGAACAGAAGCAGCATGAACCATAAAAGAAAAAATTGATAAACTGCATTTCAACAGAATTTAAAAGTTTTGCTCTTTGAAAGACAGTAAGAAAATAAAAAAGAAAATAGAAAGACAAGGCACACATTGGAAAAAATATTTGCAAAACACATATGTGATAAAGGGGTGTTAACCAGAATACATACAGAACCCTCAAAACTGTTTTTTTTAAAAACTTGCCCAATTAAAAACCTTTAGCAGACACTTGCTCAAAAATCATTAATCATTAGGAAAAATGCAGAATAAAATCACAATGAGGCATCACTAGCCACCTACCAGAATGTGTAAAATTTAAAAAGACAGACACAATGACAATGTTGGCAAGGATATGGAGCAGCTGGAACCTTATATATTACTGGTGGGGATCAAAAATGTTACAGTCACTTTGGAAAACAGCTTGGCAATGTCTTAATAAAGTTAAACACACACACTTATCATAACATCCAGCCATCCCACTCCTTATTTACCTAAAAGAAATAAAGATCTATGTTAACACAAAAAACTGAATACAAATGTTTACTGCAACTTTATGTATAATCACCAAAAATTTTATCCAAATGTCCATCAAGTGGTGAATGGATAAATAAATTGTAGTACATTCATATAGTGGAACTCTACTCAGCAATAAAAGGCAGCAAACTATGGATAAATGCAACGACACGGATGACTCTCAAAAGCATAATGCTAAGTGAAATAACCCAGACTTAAAAGGCTACATATTTTGATCCCATTTATATGAAATTCTGGAAATGAAAACTATAGACAGAAATCAGAGCAGCTGTGCCAGGGTTTGGCAATATAGGGAGGGGACAGACGATAAAGAGGCAGAGGGAACATCTTGGGACAGAAAATTCTATTATATTTCAGTGGTGGCCACAAACTATTTAGTCAAAATTCACAGATTTGTACACATCTAAAAAGGGTGAATTTTACTGTATGTAAGTTATATCTCTATAAAGCTGAAAAAAATGCCTATCACCTCAAAAATGGCCAACTACTATCTTAAGCAGAGATCTACAGCTAATCAGAACTAAAAGTGCTGAGTTTTGATTGTAAGTTTAAGATGCATGATTAAAGGACAGGAAGACAGGGAGAATAAAGTTCATGACAGTTTTGTGTGTGGGTCTTTCACTGCTAACTGATTTTAATTGTGTAAAAAAAGGCTCTGGTAAAAAGGTGATAAATACCTAATTTAGGACCCAAATACCCTATTTGCTATTTATTTGAAACAGATCAACTTAAAATGATACATGGACACTAACTGTCCTTACCAATTTCTTGAATTTGTAGATGACTCATTCAAAGAACTGCCTAATGAGACAGGACCCTGTTCAAGTACTAATTCTCCTCACTTTACAACTGTTCTGATTTACAAGAGCAGGGAAGAGGTATTTTCCTTCTGTGCAATTTCCTTCTCTTGATTAGTTTTGAAGAGACAGAGGAGAAGCCTATCTTGGCAGTAGAGGCTGCAGGGTGGAAGAAGATGAAGAGTTGTCCAGAACCCCGAAGGGCCTTTCTCCCTGTTTGACAGGCTATTCAGTGATAGTCGGCAGGCAGGTGTCTACTAGTGGATAAGCCAGTGTTCATGGTCCTGGGTTTGCAGGGAGCTATGGTGAAAACAGTGATAGGAGTCTTTTAAGTAGCCTTCTTAGACCTCCAAGGAAGACCTAAACTGAAAAATAAACTACAGAAGACTTGTCTTCTTCACTCATTTATTCATCCATTCATCCAATATTTATTGACTGCCCATTCTGGGTTAAGCTCTGTGTTAAGGCTGAAGACAAAGATAACTGTCTGTTCTAGAGTAGCTTACAATCTTCTGGTGGGCAGGGGTAGGGATGTATAAGGTGCAATAACAGCCAACGGGCAGGAATGCACCTAATGGAAGAGGAAAACTAGAGTTGTGATTTATCCCTCCTTGTATACCATATTTTCCATCAGACTCTCAGTGCCCCCGAGTTCACTAGGAAGACAAGACTGGCAGCTATTTCAAGCAGCAGGAATAGCATATACAATAGAAGTGTGAGTAAGCACAATGTAGCCAGGAAACTGCACAAAGTTCTGGGGCACTGAGAGTCTGATGGAAAATGGTGTATAATGAGACTAGAGAAGTAGGCATGAATCAGAAAGGTTGAGGACTTTCTAAGTTGTGCCAAAGAGTTAGATGTCAGTTTGTGGGGCAGAAAATGGGAAGCATATATATTAACAGGGGAGTAACAAACCAAGACGTGCATTTAGAAAGATGACTCCAAGGGCAAGTCAAGATAAACAGAGGCAGAAAGCAGAGGCAGACGAGTTTTTCCTCTTTCTTTTTTGGGTAGTTAAAAAGCCAGTGGTGGACCAGAAAGTTGGTGTTAGAGTGGCAGAAGAGCCTCTCCATTAACCAACCTTCAGGCACGCAGAAGAAATGACCCATCTCCTGCCTACTGCATGTCTCTAGCTAGCAGTTGTGATTATTTCTCTATCTCCCACTAGAGTAGCAGCTCCCTAAGGACAGGAATGCTCACACACTCACACACACACACACACACACTTATATCCCCAGTGCCTAGCTAACAGTAGATGTTCATTAACTGTGTTGACTGAATGAATAAATAAAATGAATGAATTGATAGTTTGGGCCCAAGAAACCGATTGAGAGCTGTAACAAAATGTGATTGATGGGTTATTTTAGGGGTTGGTAAGCTACCCATCACATGGCAATTTGAACTGGATGTCTTTGGAAGTCTCCTCCAATGTGAAGATTTTATGATTCTAGGCCACTCCCCTGTGAAAGTAACAAGTGGCTGAAAAAGGAATATATGAGATTTGTTCCAAAGAAAGACAAAAAATTGGTCCAATAAAAAATGTCAAAGGCTGAGTTTATAATAACAGGAAGTAACAAACTAAGGTAGCTAAAAGCTGATATTTTTTATAAAGGCTCCACATAAAGGAAACCACTGACTGATCAGGCCCTGCAGTCTACACAGACCTCTCCATATTAGAGGGAGGGAATGTCAAGTGCCTGGAGGTGAACCCAGAGCAAGATCTAGGAGGAAATCCAAGTAGGCAAGTGCGCATAATCAGAAAAGGAGAGTGGGCAGCAACAGGCAGAGGTCCAGGTACGTGAGCAGTGAACATCAGGATACTCAGCAAAGACAAAGCAGACAGAACACAGTAAGAGGGAAATCTGGTAAAAGCAATTAGTCAGCGAGCATCACCACCGGGCAGTGAAGTCCCAACCACAGGCATGGGCCTAGGCAGAGCTCAAGTTCCTAAGAGGACTGGCTAAAAGAAAGCATATTCCTACCCTTGGAGGAAGTGGGGTACACTGTATCCAGACAAGGACTTCATAGGGGAGAAGCAAAACGGGGCCCAGTTTCTGGCACAGAAGTACAAGGCCAATCTTAATCACAAGGAACTAAGCAAGAGGAGCCTTACAAAAACCTAAGCACACAAAGTCATGATGAGACTAGCAG